GCCAACGGCGCCTTGAGCACCAGCAGTTCGTTGGCCCTCTTTGTTTGCGGCCGGGCCGAGGCGGACGACGCGAAGCGTTTTAAATTAAAAACCCTAGTAAACCTTATCAATCCGTACAAAGGCCCTCGACAAACCTCGTGAAACCCTAATTAAAAACCTTCACAGGAGCGTAAAAGATGCTCTTGCAAAATCCATGATAATCCTATAACACCCCCTGCAGCCCTCCTAAAACCCTAAACCCTAAACCCCTACACCCTAAACCCTAAATCCTAAACCCTAAACCCTTTAGGAAGCCAGGGCTCAGCACAGGCCTCCGGCCGATTCGATCGGACAGGCCAGCGGTGGCCATGCCAAAGACAGCCTCCGGTTTAGGGTTTAGGGTTTAGGGTTTGGGGTTTGGGGTTTAGGGTTTAGGGTTTAGGGTTTAGGGTTTAGGGTTTAGGGTTTAGGGTTGGTTTTTAGGGCTTAGGGGCTTAATGTAGGGGCCTGAAATAGATAGAATAGGCTTTGGGGGTATGTTATAGGCTATAACTACAATAAGGAGCCTCCACAGTAGTATTGGTCATTATTTAGGCCTCTATCTAAGGAACAGGTTTTTCCTGCAGAATCGGATCTCGTGGCTAGCACGGGTTCTGCACAATTCGCCGAGAGTCCACCAATTGATTATGAATTTTGGGTCCCCCCGATATACTACGGCACCCTTATCAGACGGACCCCCAAATTGACCCTCATTCAGTCAACTACCCTACAACGGTTCTTGCTCGCCCTGGTCAGGCCGACAGTATGTCCATGTCCCGTCATGCATTCGCATACACCACGGTCGCCTATCGAACCCTAGAAAAGAACCCTGAAAGCGCCTTGATGCAAATCCTGAACCCTAAACCCTATCGGACCCAAAAAAAGAACCCTAAAAGCGCCTTGATGCACAAGTTCATCTGCACAGTGCCGCTCATGAGGCTTTCGGAGCCCAGAAGGTCCACCTCAAAGGGGCGGTGGAGGGCTTAGGACTTATAAGGTTTAGGGTTTGGGGGTT